ACTACTGCAAGCTGAAAACCAAGCACTGCTACTTACTTGAGTGGCTCCTGACTACTTTATCAATCAGTAGTGTGTATCATTATGCTAATTTAACTTTTTATTTTAACTGCCTCCAAACAGAACACTTATTGTGGTTGCAACATTTTTAGTGAATTTTCTGTTTGAACTGTGCAGTCTGCAATGTCTAATTCTAATAATTCATCAATTCTATATTTACGATTATCGCATCCCCAAGTTACTATGGTTTTCAGAACCTTTTTCTAAATTTGTGATGTTCATTTTTATGAATCCACTTTTCCTTGTACTTCATTCATATGACAGATTATTCAGCATACAGTTCTTACCTAGTTTCACTGATAATCACCAGGAAATATGATTTCTTCTCTATTACATTTCACAATTGCAGTTAACGAAACTAAAGAAAATCAACTATTATTCCACAATTTTTCTGTGGATATATTTATTACTCTGTTAATAAACTGACCACTGAATACAACGGGCATTAGATTTTGAATGAGTTAAGTCGACATAATACCCCAAAGATAGGTTTCGTCCCTGTTGACATTTTACTGTAGGACTTTGTTGAAGTCATCATGAATCCTACATTAAGCAAAGCATCCTACCGATTTATTCTTAAAGTTCAGTATCAAACAGTAGTTAGCCAGAATGAAGTTTTTTTCATTTAAGAAACTTGAGAAATACACTTTGATAATTACGATAAAAAGGTTGGAATAGTTACCACTGAATGACAGAATCATGGGAAACTTACTCTGTTCGTCTTGAACTCAAAAACAGTCACTGTCATTTTAGTAAATTCAGTAAATCGACAACGCATTTCTTCAACCTATCTTACCCTATCTTATATTTATTTTAGATGTAACTGACACGTATATGCACTCAATAATGCACTTTTATTTAGTAAATTCCTATCAGACATAAATTGATGGCATGGTTTACATCACGTGATATAGCTGTAATCTTATGAAGAAAGTTGCTTTTGTAAAGATATTTTTATTAAAATTTAGTGTATCTGATTATTTAACTAATAATGGCAAGTTTACTAAGTTATTTTTACTTTCTTTATAACTAGCCTCATGAGATAAATCTAGTAGTCCAACTTAAATTATTGCGTTGTCTAAAAAACTGTTTCCTTGAAATCCTGTTTCATAAATTTCATTGTTGCTGAGAACTGTGCTTATGAACTAAGAATTAGTTCAGAAATGCTAAAAAAACTAGGTTTTAATTTGACTTTAAGTTATTACTTATGCAACCACTGAACTTAATGTGAAATATAAACTGAAAATTTTTAGGTGTCTGTAGGACCTTGTTGATCCCTGCGTTATCTGTATTCACCTGTTTTGTTAATTTTGACTGGTTTATCTTCCTTTCTCAGGGGAATGAGTTTGTTGTTTAATGTTTCTTTGATAACTGTATAATTTATCTGATGCTTCCAGGTGATTTCTCCAGTTTTACTCATTCTTTCGAGCATTCAATAAGTGTTACAAGTAAGTTTCGATTATGCACAGTGGACCCTATATTTGTTGGAATTTCTACTATTTCTTAGGGACAGACAATGTCTAGAAAGATTTGTCCTCACACCTGATCTGCTGCACCCTACTGGTCACGACTAGCCAAAGATATTGGCTAGGGGTCGCGCTATGTCGTGAATTGGCAGAAGTTAGAATTCATAGGCCACTGGATCGGGTCCCAGTGGCTTAATGGTATACGAGCTCGCCTTGTAACCAGAAGGTCCTGGGTTCGAACCCTGGCGGTGGGTGCGTACTGCCGAAGAGTCCCAAACTAGGACGAAACAGCTATCCAGTACTCCCAGGTTTTCCAATGGTTCTCTAACTAATGTCAGCTCATGAGGAAAATCCTGTAAACAAATTTTTTGATTTTCATGTAAACAACCCAGAAAATTTAAGTAAATGATCCAGGATCTTTTTATTCTAAGTAGATAAATTTTAGACAATAAGCTGAAACTTAGATTGCATCGTAAGCCTTTTAGACAGCCACTCATATTATCTTAATAAGAAAATGTTTGAGTGGTTCACAACCAGATAATTTAAAACTGAGGCCATTGTTTCTAAATCAAATTTTGAATGTTAAAATTAGTTATTATAATTCTCATGTAACAGTTTTCATATAAAAAATCACAAGAACCATAATTAAAAAATATATGCAAGGAGGGATAATATTGTGGGGCAGTGAAAAGCAACATAAAGTGGCTTCAGTATTATAATACAGCAAAATAACCCACCTAAAGCATTCAATAAGCCACCAAAGATGTGATAAACTTATTCAGATAAAAGCTCAGGTAGAAAACAAAATTTAAAGATTTAACTTTAAAGTGAGTAAAGAAGCGTTAGAATTAGCTGTTCTGACCTTGAAAAAAATCACATCAGAAAAGAACAAAAAATCATTAATGTTTCAGTGAATACCTCTACGTTTTCTTCATTCTATGCAGAAGAGAGTAGTGAAATATTTTTCAAGCATACCAGAGGAAAGTTTTACAAATAATGTGTCATCGGAAATGACCTCCAGCATTTTTGTTTCTTAAAAAAGTATATACAAAATGAATAAAATGTTAAGTCCGTGACTGTCGACAACAGACAACTGTCTATCAAGCCATAGATGCACCTTTATTCTCTGTCATCTGCTGAATGGCAGTTGGATGATGAACGAATAATCCTCTCAAGCAGATTTGTATCATTTACCTTACTTTGCATCCACGATTGATATAAGTTTACAGCCGTATTGATTCAAACAATCGTGTGAACATAGAATATATTTTTGCGGTCAGTGGGAGATTTAATGCAGACCGCTGTTTTTACCAACCTAAGAATGTGTACCTAATGACTTTACTGTCCATTATTTCTATATTTGAATTAGATTAGCAGTTGTTCGTGTGCTTATTTAATTTAATAGTATAGGTTGATGTGTTTCACGAAACTTGACCAGTTATAAGTGCAAGCGACACAAGCTTTTCCCAATGTCGTACTTCAATAATCCTATTGCGATTTATACTAGTTCTTCGTGCCACTTGTCTTATCTGCCAATTCACTTTTTTGTGTGGTGCACTGTTATGAGAGCACGTGCTTGAGAGAAAAAGTGATTAGAGCCTTTTGAGAAACTTAATTCAATTAACAATATTTACTAATATTTTCCCTGAAATGACGAATGGCTGAGCAAGTAAGTGAGAATGTTTCTTCATAAAGCACATGTGCTGCTCATTTCTGAAGTAGCAAACATCATACAAAAGTAGACGACATTGGTTGCTTTAGAACTAAACTCAATCATATAAGCCTGAACGAACATCATATGATTTTCACTTGAATCATTTTTAACCACAGTATGCTAAACCTTATAAGCTACCAGTTACTGCTCACCATTGCTGAGTGAATGAGACAATAGATAAAGAGATTTTATTTCTCATCTTATAATTCAGCAAATGTCAGGAATGACTTCTGTGTAGTTTTATTGGTCGAAATATCTAAAGTAATACTGAAAAAAGGTGGACATAAATTTAAAAAAAAACGTCAAAAAAGTGGTATGTAGCAGCTAGGTAGCAGTCACAGGTACAGAAGTTAGAGCTCATATAGAAAAGACGAGATATAATTTCCCTTTTCATGTCAGGTGTACGCAAGATTGCAAATCTAACGTCTCAGCTTTAAACCATTGAGTTACAACCATCGCCTATCAAGAACACATTTCATTCAATTATGCAGACAATTCGCCCCCACGGCTTACTTCGCTAGTCAGATTCGTTATATAATTTTCTTTAAAAAACTCTTTTTATGCTTCAGTTTACAATTCAGAATGGCTCATTGAATAGATTCAATATTGAAATAAACTTGAAATTGAGATATAAATATGTGTTTTGGATCTTATTTGTACTTTATTTCTTAACGTCCTGAGGTTTTAGTGGCATTGTTCTTTTTACGGATTGAATTAGTTAGTCTCACGCCCGACATTACCTTCTTTTCCGGACTTACTTCCAGCTAGTTGACTAGGTTAGTGCATCAGCCGTAACTGAACTTGAATTATATGCGTAATCAGTATTTTGGATCTTAGAAAATAAATAACATTCCAAACTTTACAGGATTGTGTATTTACAAGCTGCATTTCATCCTCTAATCGTATATTTGATAGGTGAAGTGTCTACTAATCGCCATTTGCAAAATAATTGGTCACGGTTCTTAGAGTATAACTTTCAGCGGTCAAAAACATAACGCTAATGCACACATAAAACTATGTAATGTACATAACTGAAAATCATCATTATCTTAGAATCAGAGAGACAAGAGTAACCTACATTGGTCACTGTGGAGTTACCAGGTCTTCGCATCCAGTCTTTATTATTGCTGATTGAATTTATTAGCCAACCTGCAATGTGATCACCAGTCCTGGATACTAGTGCACATTTGAATTCATGTTGGAAGGTAAGAGGCAGTCAGCATTAGGTTTCGGAGCTACGTTTTGTGCTTACTAGCACTAGAAAACTTTCAAAGAAGTGATATCATCTGTAATATTTGAACCAGCTCCTTTCAGTGCTGGTGTTACCATTGAGCTGTTCGACCACATCACTGCACAAAATTTTACGTGCATGTAAGTAAATCACATTTTGCCTTCGTTTTTCTTAACAAAATTATGACTTTCAAGAAGATATACTTTATTACAAACAACTGTACTATATTTTTTATTGTATATTTGAAAAGTTCCTAGATCACGCAATGCTTAATTTGCCTTCAATATAAGCTTTACTAAAATCCACTTACTAATATACTGGCATTAAAACTAAGTAGTTGAATAGTTATAGTCAACATGTTTAATAGAAAAGACACCATAATCAGCAGTCTAACAATAAGTAACGTCGCAAGGTAATGTGTACTTTATACTATCTGTACAGAAGACTGTACACTATTGTTTACCTTTACCTGGTGAAGTCAAAGACTGTGTAGATCTGTCATTGACAGAGTCACTGAAAATCATAAAAAAAGGTGTATTCACGCATATTTATTTATTTGTTCTTTTTATCAGTCAATTAGCAAATTGTTTGAAAACAACAATCGTTGAACGCTATATTGCATGAAATAAATCGAAGAAAAACAAAATATAAAAGGAAGCACCATAAAGTAGCCTGAAATGATGATCATTAAACCATGTCAAGTTATGTAATATTGGAGAAACAATAAGTTTTTGTTCAAACGTCGTTAAATTTTGAAAATGTTTGTGGATAGTACAAAGTCATGAATTATAATTTTGTTCTGTTGACTTACCCATGTGTTTTGTATGGGAGTGAAAAATAGTTCATATGAGTTAATCAAGTTTTCGTATTCATTAAATAACTTTCAAATGTTCGTTAAGTTTCATCTCCTTGAACTAGCGGGTGATTCGAACAATGGTCCTTCATATGTTTGAAGCCTTTCCAAACCTGATTGACAGAATAAATACTTTGAACCATTCTCACACTCATAAACATCACCCGATGAAGATGTGAGAAATGTTAGGTCATTGTCGAATAGTTCAATCAGCTCATCTTTACGTGTGTAGATGTTTTCGTTATCTATTCGAAGCAGATTTCTAAAACTTGGATTCCTAGAATTCATTGGCGTTAGGTCACTATCATTTTCATTACTGAACTTGCTGTTTTTACGTTGATTTTTAGATTGGTAACCAATTAATGGATGGAAATCATTGTTTTTGCCTGCTGGTGAAATCATCCCGTTCGGTGAGTTATAGTTACTCATCCCCTTTCCTCTACTGCTATTACTGCTGCTTGTTCTATGCTTAGTGTATCCATTAGATGCGCCTTCATGAGGTATTTCAGTCATTGAAACTGTGTTTACGGAGGTTAGATTGTTATATGTATGTGATGGAGATAAAGGTACTGAAGAACTATGGAATACATCATTCTGTACTGTAGCTTCCGTATTTGGCGATCCATTATCACGTAGAAACCCACTTTGATAAGTTGCTGATTCACTGTTCAGATTTGTGGCACTTTCAAAGTAATCGGCGGCTGACATATCATTATTCATGTCGATAGTTGATCTTGAGGTGTTATAACTTTTGTATAATCTGTGCTCAGGATCATGTTTGGCAGAACTGATTAAACGAGTCAGTGTTTCCAAATCAGATGGTTCATCACAACAGAAGCTTTCATAAGTTTTCTTTCTTGTTTCTGAATCATTTATACATAGCATAAATACTCCTGGTTTACTAGTGAATACTAGAAAATTTATTATATCTTTATACTGAACTGATTTGCGTACAGAATGTGGAGCAATCGATGAAACTTTACTTAACTTCAGCCGATCTTCTGAACAAGTCATAGTTATTTTAGTATGACCCTTCTTAATATGTTTTCTTATCAACTGATCAGCTGTGAAACGTGAAAATGATTCACCTTCAGCTACCTCTGTAACACTGAGTTTCTTTCCACGACATTGAAAAAAGATATCTCGTTCCTGTGAGGAGTCAGCACTGCTGGATCGTCTTCCACGTGTCATTTGTTATCTTATCTTTGAATCTTCGTAAAGGATTGCAGTTAGTTTTCTTTGATTAGAACTTTATTCACCACTTTGCCTATTAGAAGAACGGTAATCCCGATGACGACAATGAATACGATGTTTGTAATAATGTTGACTTATGAAATGATAAAGATAATAAAATTAAGCCTGTTGGTAGAAAAAGAAACCTACACAAGAAATTCTATTGAATATTAGTGAGACTCAATTAGATTTCATGTGAGTACATATGTGTGTGTGCTCATATTCACTAACTGCCAGGCATGTGATTCTAAATATTTCTCGCTTTGCACTTACAGTACTATCTATTGATTAGCTAAATAATACATTCCAATACACACATATACGTATTCATTATCAATACTATTACTAACGAAAAGGATTTATTTCATTGATACACATATGATAATTGTGATGATAATGATAACAGCGATGCCCGTGTCTATGATATACAAATAACACATACATTCGCAGATGCCTAAAAAAGACCAGAATACTTTGATTTAAAAGTTAAGATACACCAATCACTGTAAAGTATAAATGAGTTCATGAATGCAAATTACCAAAATTACCACCGAAAAAAAGTTAAGAATTACAAATGCATCTTAGAATTCTTCCTATGAGTAGAAAACTTCATTCATGTGTGTTGTTACTTTTAACAGTGAAATAAATGGCGATCAGGTAACCAAAAATCTATAAACACATCCGATGAACCTAGATGCCCTCCAACCCTAACCTGTGAATTCCAACTCTTGCATAAATTCGCCGTATAACGATAACACCAGCTAGTGTCACCTATTAGGCACACCAATCAAGAAAATGTCATTCGTTTCACCATTTTTAGATGGCTTTTTATTCTGATATAGAAAGCATGAAGTTAACTTCTCTTATGACCTGTTTTCTAAAGCAAGTTAGAAAGATATAAATACGACTGGGAATAATACATTCTACTCGGAGTTTCATTCAATTAATAACATTGCACCACTGTGTTATGTTAGATAAGCCTTTATGGTATGAAAGTATTACTTAACTTTATTCCATAACGTTCCCAATGGAACACAGAGTTTCAAGTTAGAGCTTCGAAGTTTCGGTAGCAGTTTTTTTATTTTTGCGGGATGAAACTGAAAGCCTCACACCCAACCCTCCCTCTTTACTGGTCTTACTACTAGCTTGGCGAGGTTAAGGCTTACTTCAGCCGAACCTTGAACCCCATGCATGGTTGGCGAGCGTTCTCACCATGAACCACAATGTAATATGGAATTACATTCCACCATAATATCCAAATTTCTTTTTCACGCCTAAAACTGTATGCGAACCTAAGGTGGATTAGAAGTGAGTTGGTTTAACGCTGGAATGTGTGCTCTTACTTAAAGGTTAACGTGACAGTAAATTTCTCACTGGACATTGTGAAACTTTATACTTAGTGTTTGTTCCAGATTTTGGAATGAGAGTAAATCTCCGGAACATCTTTTCAAGTAGTCTGTATTTCCTTTGGAAACCCTTAGCAGTCTCGAGACCATTATTCGATGTACACTGTCTACACAGACGCTTGTGTCACACCGGTTGCATAAGTACACCTCGGATGAACAAAGAACCGTGCACCAAAACTGATTTGACCAAGCTTTATAAAGAACGGAGAGAAATTAGCTCACATATGGCCTAGGTAGAAATTTACACACTAGTCATGAGAAATGATGAAGGATGAAATTCAACTAATTAAGGAAATCAGAATCATGTTGTAATGGTTGACTGCAGACTGGCATAAGGATAAAATATTTAGTCATACTTTAGCTTAGAATAACAGTCCTTCGTTTAGTAAGCCAATCGCTGACTAAAGCTGCGAAATAAGCACTTTAAGGTGTCGGTTAAATTATACTTAGCTGTCCCTAAATTTTCCATTCTTAAGCTTCAGAACGAAATCAGCTTTAAAATACAATCTTCCACACACATCAAAAAATAGAAAACTGTCAGAAACATAAAATGATGGAGAGCAATGCGGCCTTAAAGTATCACTTCAGTGATGTTTAAGCACATCCTTTCAAAAATATAAGTTGTATCGATTTAAAGTTTAGCTATAATATGTTAGCTTCATATGATTTGCTTTGACTAGTCTGGACTCTTAATTGTTCCAGTCCTCTATAGGAGGAAACGTCCTGTTATCATTATTATATAAATAGAATTCCCTACTGAAGTTTTCCAGTTGGCTGGTCCATTGATCAAAATGTGTTAAATTTGAGCTCAAAATACAAGCAGGGTTTTTTTGGTGGTCTCTAATCTAAGGTAATTTTGCACAAGTACTCCGCCCTATTAAATACTTATATAATTGCAATTTATTTTCACATAATAACAAGGACCGTTTACATTTATTACTAGTCAGTATATGGAGGTCTAATTTTATTTTAGTTTGCTCAGGGTGCTTTCCCAATAGGATACTCCTTAGCTGGTCTAGAGTACTCAGGTAAAAGTATTTTTTAGGCGAAGACGATCGAATTCAGAGTTTCACACAGAGAATGACAACAGATCAGCCACTCTAAAAAATATTCTTTAATGGGCTTCATAGCAGTACACATTAACTGCTACTGAATGACCGATCTGCACTGATAAGTATTCCAATAATAGGAGTTGAGTAATTTGTGGGTGTTCATCAAGCACCGATAACTGTATTTAATTAACGTTTGAATTTATTCCTGTACCACAGAAGCATTTAAAACCTATTCCTGTTTCAGTGTTTATTATTTCCATCGTTTTCAGTTTTGATGTTTTGTTATCGTGTGACCTTTAATTATATCATTCCCAAGACTTTTTTCATGCGCCTAGGCTTTTAATTGGTGTTATATGAGATGTGAAAAAATGAACAATACTTCATGATAACAGAGTTAATTCTGTTTTCTGTGTTGATAACATTTTCTGGTCAGATGTATGACTTGTGTGATTATAATCTACAAGGAACCAGTAGCAAAAATGGAGTATTTTATACCATGCAAAACATCCTGTGTGACAGCATAAATGTCGTCACTATACGAAACAATAGCCATATGACTTAATAAGCAAATTGCCATTGATAAATTCGAATAGAGTTACGTCAGACATTGGTGCTGGACCCATTTTATTTCTTTGAATATTGTAACACTTAACAAAACAAACTATTATACAGTTTTAACGTGCATTCGTCTGTCAGCACGAATCAGCCTTGATTTATTGGATGTTATAGGCTGTAAGCAGCTGACAAGGACCAACGAAATAAAGTGGATCTATGTTATTCTGCAACAATGTTTGTTCTAACTGTGTTCGAAATCATAAGACTTGTGCTAAAAAATACGTGAAAGTTATGGAAAAGTTATTCCGACTATGTAGATGAAGTCTTTCAAGGTATCACTTAATTGGATGCATACGAATCTCGATTTCACTTAATTGTGACTAAGAAGGTCAATTTGCTACCGTTTGGATTACTAGAATTATCACTCAAACTAATACGACCAGTTACTTATGGAATAGTGAGCAAAATTATCATACAGACTCTCATGGGTAGAAATGAAAACAAAGAACTCTAAATTGAATTAAAATGCATTGGAAATGTTAAAAACCAGTAAGGAAACTTTTATTGTGCCCTTAATCAGAAGTATTCAAGAAAAAAATAAAGTGCAGTGAAAAAGCACACTATCTACTATAAGCCAAAAAAATACAAAGGCACCAAAATAAGGTATAAGACAAGCAGCTAATCAAAGAAACATAAACTGCAACAAATGACTTAAGCAGAAGGAAGTCAATTATTTCGATGATCCTATGCATGAATGAAAACTGATACAACAGACATTTAATGACGGTGACCTGTAGACTTCATTATATGCTCACATACACCTCTTACAATATTCAACAATCAAGAAAAATAACTGTGCTCATTTCTGGTATCAGAACACATAAGGATGATATTCAAGCTCAGGGCTGTGTAAACCATGATACACAATGAATGTGAACGAAGAACTTCCTTAATTTTAGGATAATTTCTGAAATCATTGAATATGACGACAAAACAGACTTCAGACATTTTCAGAATAAACTCATTAGCTTCAACAGAATGTGTGAAATAAACTGGATATCATATTAATAACAGATCACAAAAATTGATATTATTTTATTCACTCTCATCAATTATGTCGATGATATTAGTACTGTATTAAAGATGTAGAGGGTAAAAACTGAAAACTGGATATGTCTACAGTACAAAGCTAAGAAACATATAAAGATTAATTTTTTTTTCTGTGATGACATACACGTTCGCCTTTTTAAGCATATGAAGGGTATAATTCAGAGAAACGTTTGATCATATAGGTGACGCGATCACTTAAAAAGATGTTGAATTTTGAGTACTTTTAAAAAAGGTAATTATTCTATTAACAATTAAGCCATTTCAAAGTAGCAGTATATGTAGAGGTTTCAATTAATGAAAAATGGTGACGCCATATCACATGGCTGTAAAACTGAAAGAGGGAAGCATCTTCATGTCATTATACACTAAAAAACAATAAATCAAGGCTTATTTCATCTAACTCTCTAATAATTACCCGGCATGATCAAATGAAACACAGGGAAAGGAAAGAAAATTTTATCAGCCTACGTAGCTTTATTGGGTACTTTATGATAGTTTATTAATATTTCTGAAGTGGTAGCCTGAGTATTTTTACTATTCCTTTGGATTCCAAATGAAACATAGGACTTCAGCAACACATCTCCACTTTGTTCCATTTTCTGCTGTTCTCTCTAACTGACCCCACCACTGTCTATAATCGTTCATGTCCTCCTTTCCACACGATTTCCTGCATCTCACCATCGCACGGACAACTAGTTCGTCGTTTCCCATTTGGATTTCACTCGACAGACTGGCGCTATGTCATTCACTAGTCTCCTCAGTATGTGCCCAGTCCATCTCAATTTTCTTCTGCATATTTGCTGAGCAATGGGTTATTGGTTAATTTGTTGTCAGACTTTCTTCTTGTTAATTCTTTCAACCCATTTGATCTTCAGCATGGAGCTAAGGCAGCTGCTTATAAAAATCTGCAACCTGTTGGAAATCCTTTTCGTGAGGTGCCCAGTCTGAGAATATTATAGATGAAATCATTTTGTAAGATAGAAATAACCATAGTTTAATATTTAAACAGGTTGAACCTTGACACACTTTTCGATTTGTCTGTTATATTTGCTTAGTAACATGAAACTCTCATTTCTCTGGTGTTTCTGCCCAGGAAGTGGTAGAATTTATTTCAATCGGTTAAATTTCGAACACTAATTCTGTGGATATAATATTGTTGACTAGTAATACCTACAACTAAGTGTTTGCTAATTTGTGACTGTTGAACACTAAATATTATTATTGGATTTACGTACTTAAGTCAGTGAGTCTCTG